GCCATAGCACTGTGTGCTTCCGTTCTTGCCCCTCATCCCCTTACCGTTTTGCCCCTATCCAGCTCAAAGTCTAATGATTGCTTGAGGATTTTTTTTTTGTTTGGTGTGGGGTTTTTTACACCATTTCACTGAAATGCTTGGTTACTAAAGGTCATCAGAAATATTTGTATTAAATTTGTTTTTCAGGAAATTGCCAATGTGTCAATATAAACTTATTCCGTTACAAACGGCATTTTTTAGCAGGAGGGTTTTTTCAATTCAGAATGGATTTTTTGTTTGGGGGAGAGAAACACTGGACTTAATAACCAGAGAAGGGGTTGGGGTGCTTAGCTGGGAAAACGTAGACCAAGACTCTCATCTCCCTGCTTTAACATCTCACCTTCTTGCATATCTTATGATTATTCTTGACTGTATACTATTACAAGAGTTAGCATCTGTGACTTGCTGAGTATTATTCACGTAAGCTAAAATGGCACCAGGAGAAGTTGGAGACGCACGAAAGAAGTAGTATTCTCGTTTTTAGCAGCCATAGGTAGGGGGGCGGCTAGAAAACAAGAACTGTATTTATACATTGGCTTCTTTGGTTTGTGACTACTATTTTTATTGTGTTCTGAGGCCTGAGGCATTTTCTATTTTCCGGTATTGTTTTTACTGATATTATCAACAACAGACAGCAACAGTGCTTTGCAGATGGTTGTACTACTCAGCTTTTACTTTTACATCAAGAGCTTAGATAGGAAAATGTACAAAGCCAGTTAGTTTTCCAGCATTGGACCAGCCATCCTGGAGAAGCTCAGTGTTGAAAATATACATATGCATTAAGTCCAGTTTTTCACAGATTTCTGTAGTGCTTAGTGACCTTAAACTGAACCTTACTCCAAGTGACCTGAGCAGCACTGAGGCTATCCTTTCTCTACAGTCAAATACTATGTTTCCATACGCTTCCATGCATATGTTGTGATACTCTACTCATTTTTTAGTATAAAATATTTTTTTTTCCACTGAAGTGATTCATCTTCTCATTTGCCTGTACATGTATTTTAAAACCTCACTGACTTGTCCTGTATTTCCCTGGTTATTCTGCTTCTCTTGCCTAAACACTTTGGTAACATAGAAGTAAATGTGCAGGCTCCAAACTGCAGCCATAAAAACTTTCACAGCTAACCTGCTGATTAGACTGGATAGAATCATCTTCCCAGAATTTGATATTTCATAAAAATATACTGAGAAACATACTTGGCATAATCCCGAAAGAACTGCAAGTTGTGATCAGATGATTAGTAAGATACCCATGTCCTTGCCTACGTATTTTTTAGCTGGGGATTGGGATTTTTTGGTATGCCATCCTTCGCTAGGACTATCTTAATATCTCTTTTAAGCTGATGAGTTTTTTGCAACAACTGGTGCTGGACCTTAATAATTCTTACAGTATATTTTGAGGTGGAAAAAAATATAGTTTATTAAGAAAACCACGTACTGTATTGGACAGTTGAGAAGCAAGGTCTGTATGTATGTGCCCACATGCCTGCAAGTTAAGTGAGATAATTTGTGGAATCTAATATTATATAAATGAATCATTCTGTCAGTGAGATTCTGCAGTTAGTCACAGATGCACTCTTTTTTTCTCTCCTCTTTCACAGGAAGATAAAATCCACAGAAGATGAGGAGGCAGGGCTAGTAGCAATGATTTTTTGTTGTTTTTAATTTGGTTACCCATTTAAATTAACCATAGAAAAATGAGGCTTTTCTTAGACAAAGCGGGAATCCTTTCTCAGAGCAAGCCAGGTTCTCAAGACTGTGTATGTCTTTGAGAGATGGAAACTAAGCAGCCGACAACATAACATGGGTTTGGTGACCTGGCAAAAATGATCGGAGAGTACCCTGACAAAGGAAATAAAGCAAAAGGGTTTCATCAGTAATTTCTGAGACAGTGGGAAGGAGCTGACAGAAGACTTCATGCTCCCATAAGCAAAGCCACGTGTAGAAAGGAAAGGAAGGTGGGAAATCCTGGTGTTCCTAGGAGAACTGCCTTAAGACATTCAGGAAAAGTGAGAAAACGGAGAAGGGGAAGTGTGTTTATTTTGCCTAGCCGATTCTCTCATCCCTCAAAGCCTTTGTAGGTTAGCTGCACTGGAGGTTGAATTTTGTAACGAGCGTAAAACCTGTTTCAACTATTACTGGAAGCTGAAGAAGTGAAGTGTTAATACACAGTGCTTGCGAGGTGAGGGTTCTGCAAAGAGTCTGTCGAGGGTACTGAGATATCTGGAGGAAGCAAGGATGAAAAGTTATCCATGAAAGGATAACAGAAACTGGTCGCTAAGGAATAGTCGTGGCTTGCCTGCCAGAGGGGCCGACATCAGTGAAGGTGGCTGCAGCCTCCTGGGACTCCAGGAGGCCTAAAGCATCAGGCTCAACACGCAAACTCAAACATGATAACCAAACAGCTGGACAGTATAGGGAACTTCCCTTAGGTTTTGTGATGCTATGTAAATGTGCTTCACATACGAATCCTTCATTTCTAGTTCTAGTAGTTTCATCTAAATATTATCAAGGAAGTGGTCTTATTCTGTGAATGGATTAAAACAGTTGCGTTCAGCAGACAGTCTAGTACAGTATGGTTTTGCTAAGTTGCTTCAGCTAGAGTACTTTTCAGGTTCCCTTTGCCATCAACTATAGATATGCAACTATTTTTTTTTCCTTTGAAGGAAAAAACTGATATCCATTACTGTGCACTGTTAAATATGCCCACTTAATCTTATAATCTTTCACATCAGCTAAGTGTATTTATCCCACTGGCAGTAAACAGTTAACATGCCTTCCTAATGTCAACAAAGACTTCAACACAAAAGCTTCTTCAGAATACCTAATGCAGTTGTCCTGGTAGTTAGTATCATCCCATCTGGAAATTTCTACAGAATACTGATAGTGTATTGCCCTGTTTCTGACTTCTAAACTAAAACATTAAATGGTTAATAAAAATGAAATTACTTCTCTTGGTACTGCTTGCAGCGGCTCTGTCCAAGAAAGAATGCAAGGCTAATGGATACATTGCTGTCCCAATTTGGCAATTCCTTTGTTCTCGTGGAGTTTCTTGTTATTTACTCTCTGTATTTATGAGAATACGTCTTTCCTTTGACAACACAGAATGCCCTCGCATGTGTGAGTTTCCTCAGCAATTGAAGACTGAACTTATCTGGGAAGATTAAATAGCTTAAGCAAGTATATTAATAAATTCTATTTATTAACATCATTTCTTTTTTATAATTAAGAATTATTTGTACTGAAGTGGAATACCTTATGTTTGTAAACATTTTGTCATTGCATAAGTAAGCAAGACTAAAATATGTTCATCATCGGCACAGGAATAGTGTTAACTGCTGCAAAATAAGGTTTGCTTTTTAAACAGTTTTTAAAGCTCTGAAAAGGTAATAATTGAGCCATGTTTCTGACTTCCCTGTTTTACCTAGTAGATTTAAAATATTGTTTTCATAAAGATCTTTCACTTTAGAAAGTATGGTCATTTACCGTTAGAGGTCTCGTGTGTGCAGTTTGTGTGTTTTCCTAGCCTCTTTAACTGAAGCAATTACAGGAGAAACGTATTCTAATGTAGTTGAAGTAATGGATATGTCGGTGTGTAGAATCATGTTTCTTGTTGGATTGTTACTTGACTGACTGAAGTCTTTGCTTCTAAAAATCAAAGTTAAGATAAAATATTTGGAAATTGAAACCATAAAGACATCCAGCTTCCAGGTAAAGTATATTTGAGTACTTCACTCAAAAAAAAAAAAAAAATAGGAATATGTAATTAATTATTTCATGGTAAACACACCACACTCAAAATAGCTGTGTTTTAATAGCATCTTTTCTCTTGACTACAGTTTTTGCTGCAAAACTTGAGGGGCAAGGTCTATAGTCCAAAATCTGTTACTGTGTTAATTTTATGTCAGTGAGAGAATATATGAAATATAAGAATATCTGTTGTGAATAAGAATTCTGAAAAGGAAGCTAGGTAGAATAACAAAGTCTAATGGATTAGAGTCTGTGCTTTGGGAAAGAAAAGGATTTGAGAAGCCAGATTGTACATAGAACAAGTTCCTACAGAATTTTATTTTAGTTTTTAATTTAGGAGAGAGAGTTTCCTCCTGTTTTAATGTCCTTGCTTTAATTGATTATTCTTTTTGGTTAAACACTTTTCCATGTTTTCTGAAGATGAATCATACAACCTCTGAGTCAACATGCGAATCATAACAAAAACCGTAGGTTAATACATTACAGCCTAGTGCAGAATTACAAAACTGTACTGCCTTCAGTTGAATGCAGTGTCATTTATGGATTAGCATTGGAAATGAACTTTATTCCTTCTTTATGTTACAGAACTGATTAGCTTTTACTGAACAGTTTTGAAAATTGTTAGATGTAATGTCGTTGTTCAACATTGATTTTCATTATGCTGAATAGAAAAATCATATCTGTTTCTTTTCGTGTGCAGATAGAGCAGAAATGAGGGTGAAATTATCCCTGTAATGCATGTAAAGTTTATCAAGCTATTTGAAATGCTTTCAGGATAAAAGGCTTTTAGGTTTTTTACACACACACACACACACACACACAATGGGACTGCAGGTTCAGATTTCTTCATATTAGTTTGTTATTTTAATAATGTTATGTAAAATGAACACTTTGAGCAATCTTCTTTTGGTTTTCATTGTCATTTCAGTTTGTCGTCTTTTATCATTTCAGGAGAGTAGAAACAGCAGTAGGTCATCTAGTCCTAGTGTGAGAATGATCACTACCTCGGGACCAACCTCTGAAAAGCCAACTCGTAACCCATGGACACCTGATGATGCAGGTAATCCTTTGTTCATTAGTTCACTTCTAGTCTGTAAAAAGAAAGAAATATTTTTTTGATTTTGTTGTGTACCTAGAAATTAATAAAAAATATGCAGTGAAAGTGCCTGTCTGTTTTAGTACTGCTTAAATTAAATTATTAAATCATTGCTTTGTTTTGCACACTAGATATAAGAATTTTTTATGTAGGTTGTACTGAATTACATTGAAACTTCAATATTTTGCTGGTAATAAATTATTGTTCATATACAGTGATGCTACTATTTAGCGCAGATCTTTGAGCACAAGTTTTTGGCTGCAGTGTGTTGTTGGGAGTGAGAGGAGTAGACATCTTGCAGCATTTTAGTCTTGTGCGTTTGTATTGTAAACGCACAGATAAAGCTTTCTTTGCTCTGACTTCTGGAACGAAGTGCTACTTAGGTGAGTACGAGCTAGAAAAATTAATTCTGGGTTTGTGTGTTGTAATTTTGCATATGCAAAGTACACATTTGCACACAAAACATTGTTTTTTAATGATTTAATATAAAAAGTGTGTTTACAAAATTGTAAATGCAAATACTTTTACATTCGCATCACTTATGAAATATGCTGAAGAGCGAATGTAATTTATTAGTTGAATTCAATTTTAAAAGTCATGATGCACATCATTGTGAAAAGGATTGATACTGGACTGCATTAAAGCAATGGACCCCACAAATTCCTTTTTAGAATATAAACAAGAATTACACTTTTGCTATGAAAATGTGCATGTTGGATCTTAGTCTCTAGTTGATACTTTGCAGTGCCTTAAATCCTGAAATCTTTTGCTGGTGATCTGTTTCATCTTTGGGCTGATGAGACTCCATCATTCTTTTCCTGTAAACCAACTGCAAAATGACAACTCACATATCGACTGATTTTTGCCTCAGCATATATTTAAGCAAATATAAGGTGATCCTGTATGTAAGATGTGTGCTTTTCTTTTTTCCCCCATTTCAGTGGGAGGAGGACAACATCCTCTCCTATTTTGCTGTCACACTTCCTTCTTTCTGTCCATTACCACTTTTCATAATTGCACTCTATGCCTTGTAACACGTAATTCCCAAACCCCTCACCCTCTGCCACAGCCTACCCTGTGTCCTTATTTGTGCCACTTAGGTTCTGAGTTCCTTTAGGTGGTGCGCACTTACCAGAATTGCTGCCTCACACGGAAGCAAGCTCTTACGCGTGAGCTGAATCAATAGTTCATTGGGAACTGAGAGCTGCTGACACTGTGCGCCTGCAAAGGCAGCGTGTCCCAAGTCTTTGGCGTTAACCGCAGCACAGAACTAGATTAAAAGTCAGATCCGTTACTGTGGCAACTCTCTTCCACGCAAAAATGCCTCACCTGTACTCAAAAAAATGCAGAACGTGCCACACACATTTTTTTCAAATTAGGTTCATGCAGTCCGTGAACAAAGGATTGTTTTTCATTTCTAAACAGAGAAATAATTTCTGTTTCTTGTAAAAGGGAGAACACTTAAATTAATGAAGCAAAATGATAAAAGAAGGAGAAGGTCAAATCTGGACAATCACAGAAAAAGTTACAGTTCTGATACAGACCTGAAACGCTCAAGAACGTAATCTGAAGTATTTTGCATGTCTTGATGTAACATTGCAATAATTCCTTTTCTGTAGCAGTATGCCACATGTGGCAATTATCTAATGTAGGGAAGGACTTTTATATTGTTCTGATTTAAGACATTGTGGTGATTAAGTCTCTGGTTTTAGGTTTTTTCTCTACCACCTTCCAGTTACGTTACAAACATACACTTAACCACTGTTTCTCCATTCCCACCCTCTTATTTCTGTTTCCTTTTGAAGCTGCTCTTGGAGATAGCGTAGTCTTTGAGGGCAACACCTTAGTTTGTCTACCACGACTACTGTGTGGCAGGTGCTTTTGGGGTATGGGTAAGCAGCCCCTTTTTTTTCCCCACCTACCCTCCTCCATATGATCCTCTGGTAGAAGTAATGCAGCTATGAAATCAGTAGTTCCTCAGTGTATCTTTACTCCTGTGTTTCTTAAAGATTAACAGTAACCTTGTGCTCCCCAGATTGTGGGTTACCAAAAGATAAGATCTTTAAGAATTCGGAAACATGTTAAATTTGGAATGAAAGAGCTAGAGAAACCCAGTGGAACTGCAGTGTAAGACGAGAGCAGCCAGGCCCAGGAGATGGATTGGTTATTGGGTTCCTTGCAACCCACAAAGTATCTCTACAGAGCAAAGAAGATGCCCTAGAGCATGTTGTGAGGAAGTTATTTACAATCCTCACAGGGAGTAGGTTTCAAAACTGTGTAGGGGGTTGTGCTTATTTTATTTTGGCAGAGCTGGTTTGCATAGCTTCTAATTTTAAAATCATTAAATGCACGGGCTGGCTGGCTGATCCTTCATAAACAAGAATGGAATGGCAATTTTTTTTTTTTTTTTAAACAGAGAACAAGATTGCAAACTGTACAAAAATAGTATTTTTCTTAAATCTGTGTGCTGTTACATGGCTTCTAGAAATGTAGAATGATAACATTAATCTTTATTTCTTCTTGGTGTGGTAGACCATACATTTGAAGTTCTCATTTAACATTATCAGAAAAACAAATGAAGTCATCTGCCTTGGGATTGAAACACTGATATTGCCATTTGCCTTTCCACATTCAGATTGTATATATTTGTGAAATGTTTCAGTAATTTTTTTTGTATATGTCCTTTAAAACTCAGATTAACTCATTGTGAAACTGTGTTAAAAATGTCTTGGTATTGTTACAGAGACCAATGGGTCAGATAACTCCATCCCAATGGCATATCTTACATTAGATCATCAGTTACAGGTAATAAATATATACTTCATTAGATGCTTCTTTTGCATTACATTTTAGTGCATGTATTGTGAGCTGCAGCGTAGTGTCACATGTCTACCTGTGTTTATATCCTGTCTAAATTTTGACCAAAGCTAAAAAAATATATCATGTAATCTGAGATTGGTTGACTCAGATTTGATCAAGCTATTAAAAACAAGCCCTGGGAAATACAATCTCTAAAACCAAATCAAATCTGAGTTTAACTGTCAAAGTAAGACATTATTTACTTAGGTGTTATTAGGTCAAACTTTTGTATTCGCTTTATTTGTTCTGAGCATAATCAAATACTACCCTGATTATCTTTCCTTGTAACAAAGAAAGATTTAGATTAATAACTGCAGGTTTGAGGTCTGAGTCAGCTTATTTAACGCTTATTTTTAAAAGCTTACTAGTTTCTGAAAGCTGATATAAATATTGCAGACGCATTCTAACACACTATTTATTGAGCTATCAGTTGATTAGTTTTTAACATGTCTGATTTATTTTCAGCCTCTAGCACCGTGCCCAAACTCCAAAGAATCTATGGCTGTGTTTGAGCAGCACTGTAAAATGGCGCAAGAGTATATGAAAGTTCAGACAGAAATTGCATTACTGTTGCAGAGAAAGTAAGTGAAAGGTTTTGAACCTTTTCTATTCTTGTTATGTTTCTTTTACACTGAATCGTTTATCTGAGAGCATTCTTTCTGGCTTTCTGAAGTAACGTTTCATAGAAAGTAGCTGTTTTGTAGACTTAATCTGAACCCCTCACCATGGATGATGTGTTCAGAGCACGTAATTGAAAGTTCTAATCAACACCAGGCTTTTCCTTCTGGATGAATTCTGCTTTAAAGAGTGTGTCACATCTGTGTATGTAACATACCAGTAATATTTACATCATCTCAAGTAAAAGATCTCCTCTGTTAAAGAACCTTGTAATTTTATTTCACGCACTGTCCAGGAAAAGATTCCCATTGTAATCATTTGGATAACGCAGTACAGAATTGTGGCCAAAATCTCAGTGTTAACTCATTTGGCAGTTAGTCTTTACCTTATATCTGGCTTTTGTTGATCACATGTAAAACAGTAATATCAATGCACGTCCTCTTTTTTTTTTTTTTTTTTTTTTTTTACCAAGAGTTTAAAACAAATATTTAAAAGACATTCTTACCCCTGTGCACTAGAAATCATCTTTTTAATCTCAGTAGGACTGCATATGTGTATGAGTTAAGCAAGCGTTTGCATGTATTGTCGGATAGGGGCCAAAGCTATTGCTGAATCAGAAGTTCAGTTTGCAATACAGTCTGCTGTGTCCTGCTTCCCTTCGCTTCTGTTTCCTGATGTCAGGGAGCAGTTCTGAGAGATGGTATGTATTCCCGTGCTAGACAAAATATCCAGTATGTTGCCCACCAGTGGTCTGAGGTACTGCAGGCAAGAGACTGTTAACGAGGAGCTCATCTTTGTGTTTGTGGAATAGCTAATGAGAAAAATAGGTGCATCTGAATAGCTTGTACAGTAGGAATAGCAGACAATGGAGAAAAATGAGTTACTGTATGGTCAAACTCCTGTCAGCTGTCGACTTCCAGTTTAGCCTTCTGAGAACACCTTTTTCCGCCCAAATATTATTAAGTATTATTAATTAGAATTCTTAGACTTCATTAGGAGGCATTGAAGCTAGCCTAAAATTCATAGTTTTGTTTATTTCTGTTGCTCCTAAGGATCAGTAAGTTAAGTGAAAATGGGTTTATGTTTCAGTACTGTTATTTCTCTTAACTTCAGATTCCTTCTTTTTCTTTCTTTCCAGAAAGTCTTGAGTGCACATTTCTGCCAGGTTGTTTTTCTTAATCAGAACATAGTTGCCCTTATGTGTTAAATGAAAAAGTAGTATAATCTGAAATGGTAACTAGTGTATTTAATGCTGTTTTAGTTCAGCCTTTATAGAATACTTAAGTTTTCTTTAACAGTAATACAAACCATATGGCAACAATTAATTAACATGATTAATTTTCTCCTCTGCTATTTTGTTGCTAAAACATTGTTGGCTGTTTGCCTTCTTGTCACCTCATAAACAAATAGTAAAACAAACTGTGTTCTATTTGCTACAACAGTTTTGTAGGATAATTTCTAGCAGGTTTATCCATGTGTTTGTTCCTCTAAAATAGTTGCTAAAAACAGACTAAACACTTATTGCATAAATTAACTGAAATGACAGTTTTAGAAATAATCTGTCTCATTCTGGTTTTGACTGCTTTAAAAAGTACGGCTCTAAATGCCAAACAATGTTTCAGTGAAAAGTTTAAAAAAAAATCCTGCAGTGCTCTTTCCAGGAGTCAAACAACTTCTGCTCTAGCAGAGTTATGAGAAAGTATGTACAGCACAGAATCGTTTGACTGCAGCTTTGAACATTTAAATGATTAAATGATAACAGAATTTCTGAGGTAGCTGCAAATATGAAAGTGTTTTTAAATGTTCGATCTGTAAATACTTAGTATGTTGGAAAAGAGCAATTTATGAAAAAACAGGACTGCAACTGCTTTATTGAAGTTAAAAGATACAAAAGTAGACAATGTTTCCCTAAAAATGGTTGCTAAAAACATATTGAACATTTATTGCATAAATTACCTGAAATTACAGTTTTAAAAATAGTCTCCCTGAACTGCTTTTCACTGCTTGAAGAAGTTCAGCTCCAAATAGAAAAATGTTCAAATGAAAAGTTAACAAAGTTATGGTAGTTCTGCCTTTTGAGTTTTAAGTTTTTAAATATGCATGTGGTTAAGCAAAATTAGAGTTGAGTCTATTTATGAATATCTGTGTGGATCTTTAGGTGCTATAATGTAACCTGTAGAATTACATCTGAAAGCTGTCATAAGAGGGATAATTTTAGAGATTGAGACTGTGGTTTGCAGCTATTTGAAAGGTTCTGTGTGGATTTGATTTGAAATAGAACTTTTCTTCAGACTACAGCAGAGAATAAGAATTTTTTTGTGAACTAATTTCTTTGCACAAAATATCGCTGGCCATGAATTCAGACTGATAATCAAATAATGATTTAAACATGTGAAGTTGTCTGCACACAAACGTAAGCAGAATATATGTGACAATGACTTTTTTTTTTTTTTTTTAAACTATAGACAGGAACTAATAGCGGAACTGGACCAGGATGAAAAAGACCAGCAAAATACATCCCGTCTGGTACAAGAACATAAAAAGCTGTTAGATGAAAACAAAAGTCTCTCAACTTACTATCAGCAATGCAAAAAACAATTAGAGGTCATCAGAAATCAGCAACAGAAACGGCCAGGCACATCATGATTCCCTGGGACCTTTCGAATGAAAAATATGCACAGAAAAGACTGACTTTTTTTATTATCCTTTATTATGACAACTCATGAGTGTTAGCTTCTTGGTGTGGTCTGTATTTGTCTGCTACACTTATAACATCATTTAATTTTCCTTTTCCTATGGTAGACATTCAGTTCAACAGGTTAATCAAATAAGGAGAGAAAACAATGACAGTGACTTGAATCAACAGCCCTCAACTTAAAGCAAGTACAGTGAACAGTGGCTGTATGCATGCTCGTTGTGTGAAGGCTAGCCTAACAAGTGTTAAAGTGGCTGCTAAATTGTAAGATCTTGTATTTAGATTTTGGTGTTACCTCGATAAGAGCAAAACAAAAACTTTCCTGTTTAAGAATGGTTTTGTTCTAGTGTCTCATCTCAAACAGATTTACAATAGCAGTTATTTTCAGGATTTAAACATGCACCAAGCTGCAAAGATGATGTTGGCTGACCAGAGTAATTCATGATGCATTAGTGATGCCTTTTACCTGTAGACTTAGCGTATTTTTTTCCCACATGCAAAATGGTAGTCAAACTGATGCCAACACCCTTGGTTCAGTGCTTGATAGCCCTGCATTTTGACTAATATGTTTCTTGTAATCTTGCATTCATAAAATATTTGAAGTAAAAGGCTGTATTTTCTTTACTTTCTTGGGGGGAATTGTATGTAGTTTCATCTGGTTACTGGGCAAAAGTTATGAAGGTGATTCACTGGACAAAGTTGGTCTCTTGGATAAAGGAGATCAAGAATCAAAAATCTGTGAAAGTGTGTTTTAAACCTTTAAAGCTTTTGTCCTTTTAGCATCTTTGGAAGGAAACTGAGAGAACAATTTAAGGCAAGTTTTTATAAACTCATTGCCTTAATGTCATTTATTGGATTTTTCTTACAACTTATGTGCTGACAAATATTCACCATGAATGTAAATAAGTTTGTTTTGGGTAGGGAGAAAAGGGTGTGAAAGAGAGTTGAGTATGCATATAGAGGAAGTTATTAAGAAAATGAGGGAAATGGCTTAGATCTCCTTCAGGAATCTCAGTTATTCTACTTATGTGAACATGGTTCCAAGCAAGCCCATCACAGAATGCCTGCTGCCTTTGTGACTGAAGAATTGCATTTGATGAATTGAAGCAGAATATGTAACGATCGGTATTGTTATTTACCATTATAATATGGGAGAAAATAACTACTTGTTTACATTAGTTTTGGATTATGAATTAACTTTTAGCTGGTACAAAAATGAGGCACTTCTGCAAGCAGTAATTTCTCATTATATTTTTAAGCTCTTGGCATACTCATTTGTGGGTGGGGTTTTAATAACACTCTTTTACGAAAGGAAAACGGAGAATTGAATTTAGCTGCTGAGTCCTCAAAATAGTGATAGTCCAAAGTTTGATTTATGTTTATGTAAAATGAATGATTGTTCATAGGAGCCCATGAGCAGAGCTTGGTAAAATATTAATGGTAAAAATCTCACAGTATTTTCTCTTCCCCTTCCTGCCTACCTGATAATAAGCATTAATAATATTGTGCTTATATATGAACAACAAAGATGAAGGACAGTTTACTGAACAGTATTGTTCTGTCTTGAAAATAAATCAATTAGTGGGAAAGCTTTGGGAGTTTAAAAACCCTTCCCTCATTTTATTTAAATAAAGGAAGGGTTATCATTCCCAAAACCTTAGCAGATAATTTGATTAGTTAGCTGAAACTGATATCAGGATCAACTTAAGGGCACGCATATTTATAGCAAAATGTAATTGGCAGAGAAAATAACTCTAGTATTAGGAATAGCACAAGTTATCCAAAGCATTGCTGTTTGCGTACATCTGTCCATCTACCAAAATGGACACAGTGAGTGTTCGGCAGCTTGCTTAAACATACCTTTAAGCATGAAGTAGAGCAACAAAAAATACTAATATTTGACTTCAGATGCATGGTTGATAATTACATACACAAAATCATTTCCCAGGATGGTTTTTATGGTTTGCCTTGTCATAAAACGGACATGCTTAAGATAAATGAGTGTTATGTGTGAGAAGTCACTTAGTGGCAAATTTGAATAAGGGAAGTGAGTGCAACACTAGCTTACTGGTACATAATGCAAAAGTCGTTCCTAACAGTTGCTTACGACTTTTCAAAGTTTACATTAAAAAGGGTCTCAGATTGTAAAAGTAGTATTGTACTACCATACGCTGTGGAACTCGGCTCCATTCAATAGTTAGGTTGTATTGCTGTTCTTACGACGTACAAAGGGAATTTGGAGTTTGGCCTTCTGCCTTCAAATTAGCCCTTTCTTAATTCCACCAAAAAATTAAATTATTTGCCCTGATTTCTTAGGGAAGTGTTCTGTGTGGGCAAATTTGTATATCATAAAAAACTATAAAGGTAGAACGTAGCAATTTGTGCTAAGCAGATTTTAACAACTTACCTTTCCTAGTGACTTACCATTTTCATAAGGCTCTTGTTTTACAGTTGTCTACAAATGTACTTTTATTTTTCTGTTAAACTATTTCGGAGCATTCAGGAAACTTCTCATGTACTCTTTTGTCCAGTTATAGCCATTGCTCTGATCATGGAGGTGAAATACCTAGTTTTGTCTGGGCACTGCCTTCTCAAAAAGGTAACAGGCTCTGCTTTTTGTTAAAGTATGTGTTATGTAAGATACTGTGTAATTGAAAGTATGCTTCTGTATACTGTTCAGTTCTACCAAAAACACTTTTCTTTTCAGGCTTTTCAGTTTTTTTTTTTTTTTGAATGGGAAGTCGAAAATTGTAATTCAAAACTTGTACATAAAATGGTGAATGATTTCATATGTTTCAGGAATGAGCAGTGTGGCTTTCTGCTACGGGATTTTATTACGTTTATCAGGAAGCTAATTAATAAAAGCTGAGAGACTTCAACAAGCATGTAATGCCCCAGCATGTGCCAGGGCATCCTTGATCGGTGATGGAATCCCACGTTGGGTGGGGGCTAATCGTCATGCAGTTGTTCCCACCATCGAACGAAAATTCTTCTCTTATTAGCTCTTCCCTTCATGTGTGCCCAAGTAGAGCACTGGGTGAATAGTCCTGGATATCATAACTGGATATCAAGACATTTTAAGAATGCCACATCTTTAGTATTGATGATCTGCCCAAAAAAAAAAAGTTCTTCTTTCGTTGTTCAGTTTGAACAAATTCCATTCCCTGTAACTTCTGTGTTTTATTCCTTATATGTTCCATTGTTTCTGAGTTTCCATTGACATACTCTTGGCAATTATAACCTGTTAACTATCTCCCTGCCTATGAAGAACACAAAATTTACTTCAATTCTGTTCTGAGCTGCTTTGAGCAACTCAGGCACTTCAGGTGCCCTGCTCAAACTTGCATGCAAATTTAAAAGAATAGGGGCACAAAAGAGTGCAGCACGCTTGACTCTTCAGAACAGACATTCCCCCATACTGACTTGGCTGAAGAGGAGAATCTTATGAAAGTAAGCATATGTGTGTGTATGTACACACACACTGCTGTGTATTTATTTGTATAGGTACAGACAAATGCCTATATAAAATCAGAGTTTATAAAATTTTTTATGTCCAAAATCTGCTGAGCTGAGGCAAGTAAGCTTTCTGAAGTTAGCTTTATTTACTCTAAAAATGTCACTAGATGAAGTTGTCGTTTAACACTGTGAGGATGACGTTCCAGAAAGAAAGATAAATACGGATGTGCATTTGCAAGAGTGCATTGATTATTTCCCATAAGTGTTTAACCCTTTTCAACTTCTTACAGAGATGATTCGGATTTCCCACTTAGCTTTCACAGATTTGCTCCAAGTGTGTTAAGTCTGAACATAAACCTTCACTCTAGTCGTGGAGGAGTATTTAATGAAAAAGCAAAACTGAACTTAGACCAACTGCTTTCATATAATTCATCATAATAAAATTGTTACCTTTTACGGATGGAAGGAGAGGAGCAGATCGTTGCATTGAGATGTTAAAAGCATAACCAGTATTATCAAACAAGGCCTTGGAGAGGCTGAAATCGGAATCGGTGGCAGGCAGCCTGCAGCTCGCTCGTGGCATGCGTGCTGTGGCTCAAGAGCTGTGCCTTCCTGCTGTCTGCTCCCTGCGCTTTAGCTGCTGCTCCTCTCTGTATAAATCCAAATTTGCTAATGCAGGTGTGCAAACTGGTATAAATTCAAGGATCTTCCCCTTCCCCACCCGCTCTTTTCCGTCTTGCTCCTGTTGAAGGGAA